AACTATTAGCTGAATGTACTATCAATAAAATCCTGGATCGCAAGTACTCACCTTAATATTTAAAAAAAAAAAAAAAATACATTATTATTTTATAATTGAATTAAAATAAAACAAACTACCAAATTAGAAATAAGATTAGAGTTTGAATAAAACAATAATTAAAAAACTTTTTAAACAAAATTTCACAAGTTTTTTTAAAAATCATAATTATATTAATTTCATGTTATACTTGATCCTGCATTCTAATTGGTCAAATCACAAAAAAAGTTTATTATAAAAAATTTGCTTGATTTCTATTAACCTATCCTCTCATGTTTTGTCATCAAGAATAGTTTTTTTTTGCGTTAGTAACAGAAGCGACCGTTTAAATTCGATATAATTACACAATTGGTAAATAATTTTTTATTCATTTTATAATATTTCTTTTAAAAGCTTGGGTAACTTAGCTTTCTGTGTAGTGAATGTAAATTTAATGAATGGATCAATGCTTTTGCTTCGCCTTATAACATTTTTTTGAATCCTCATAAATCTCAAGTTTTTTTTTACTTCGAGATACGATCAGTTGATAATCTGTGTAACTATATTGAACAGTCGCGTTAGTTACTATTGTTTTAGTTACACAAGATCCTACGATCCGATTGGTCGAACATACAATCACTTACAGTGATGTTTAATGAAGGCTAGTAAAAATTCATGTTGCAAATTTTGTGAAATACCAGTTTTTAAAATCATCTAAAACTACAGTTAATACAATTTACGTATTCAATCGAGTATGACCAAAACTGGTTAAATTTATCAGTTGCACCTTCCGAAGACAATCAATTTAAAAATTTTATAATAAATCATATTCTTTTACGTAGAAAGAGCTCAAACCGCTCCTGAAAATCAAAAATAAGATTTTTAAGATTCGTGGCAAAAATAATTTAGTATAAAAAAATTTTTGAGAGACTTGTAAATTGCCCAATAAGTCTGAACACAATAAACTTGACTATCTCAAAATCATATTTTTGGACTCTTTCTACTACAAAGGTCCACATACTATATGTTTTTTTTAATCTAGCTAGAATTATAATGATCTGATTTAATTGGTGTTTTACTGATGATTTTGGTGATTAAGTATAATGATTATGCGCACATCGATATAAATGGAAGTAAACAAGTGTAGTCTAGTTAAAGTAAAATTTATCCGGCTATACTTGCCACCAAAGTCCAAAACTATTATAGTTTGGGCTTGTCTGCTTCCAAATCTCAAACTCAAGCCCAAACTAATACCTCAAAAACTTTATTATTAATCTTTATTTAAATTAATCATATATTCTTATAATATATTTACCAAAGATCAAACTTATTTTGTTTTTATAAAGCAATTTGTTTTTTGAGGGTTTGGGATTTGTCCGGGTTTTGCCAGCAGGTATCATCTAATCAAAAAAAAACTTTCAAATCAGATAATATCCAGATTTATGACCGGACATGTATTGTTTTGTCTGGTTTAATTTTGAGAAGCGTTTGCTTTTCAGAATCTTTCAGATGATTGCTCAAAATTTTAGCCATTAATTCAACCATTTCAATCTGGAACTTTTCGGAATACCCTTAATTTATTCCATTTTAACTGGACTTTCTTATATATGCAATTCGGTTCATATTGATATTTAACCATAATTTTATAATAATAAGATATCCGAATATTATATGGATAATGTATTCTAAACCGGAACCAATTAAGCACTATGATCACAAGACATCCGGACTTAAATTTAGACCGTAGCATACGAATAGTATCTAGCTATTGGGTGTCAAGCAGCCGATAAGTATACATTATTCGGGCAAAAATTTTTGAACAATGGTAATTTGGTTCAACCGAGCAAATGAACACGTGCCGTGAAGCGGCGCGTGTCATCCAATCATTTGCCAGGTTGGCAAATCTTACTTTTTTGATACTTCTTTTTTGATACATCCAAACATACACTAAAACTAACCAATAGGATTGTATAATAAAAAGTATAAAACTTTTCGGGTATATTTAGATGTATCAAAAAAGCAAGTCCAGGAGTTTCAAAAACGTAAGTTTTGCGCAAGGTTGAGTCAAATTACCATTATTCAAAAATTTGCCAAATCATGGTGTTATCCGACAATTTAATGATTATGAATGGTAGGGAGTTGTAAGCTGAGTTTTAATTCGAGTAAACATATTTCGTAACACATGAAAAAAATAACGGACAGAAATAAATTTAAAGAGTTTGTCGGATAACGGAAATTATTTGTAAAATAACTTTACTACCTGGCCGAGTAGCATTCAATAATGGTATTATCCGGTATCTTACGACGACTGAATCAACAGAATAACTCGAGTTCTTTGATAATGATGCAATTATCATCAAATAATTTGAGTTATTCTGTTTGTACGATCATAGTAAGGTGCCAGATAAATTTTTTTCGATCGATATACAGATAATTAATAGAAATAAACGCTGATATGCACTCACTATAAGCGCTCCTCATATGCACTTTCCCTCTACAAGTACACATAACGAGTAATTAATATCAAATCTCTCCGTAAGTGCACTTTTGAATAGTGATACGGGCGGCCCGGAAAATACCGTCCGGAATTTTCGGAATGTAGATAATAAGCCAATATCAAATTCGAATTTTCAGTATACGCAGAAAAAGAAAGATTGAATCGAATCTGAATAACATATAATCCGTGTCTAAAGTATGAGAAGAGTTGAATGTTATTTAGAATCATTCGAGAGATCAGCCCGAGTTGCCGGCCTTGCCTGAGGTCAGTCCTGACCCGAGATTTTTTGAATGTATTAATTTATAAATGATAAACCGCGAATTTGAAATTTGATATTTTTTTGTGAATAAAATTTCTAGATCAGAGGTAAGTCAAATTTTTGTCTATGAAACCACTTTCTGCGCTCTAAGCAAAAAAATTTTTTCTTATAAAACTTTGGCCTCATTGCGATTATAATATTGACCATATCACAAGGTTTTATTTAAAAAATTGTGCATATTCGATTGTACGTATCTAATTGCCGTCGATCATGCAAAGAGATCTGATTGGTGTATCACACACAGCCTTACTGTGGTAGCTCAGGAAAGCAATGATCAATGACGCGAGAGAACTAGTTGAATGACGCAATGGCACCGGATGAGCAAATTTCAAAAGAAATATATCAAAGTACGAGGTTCCACCACATTTATAGGGTGATTAGAATCATATATAGAAATTTACATTAACTCATTATATCTGACAAATGCATAACAGAAATGATGCCATCTAGTACATGCATTGATATATCAATTTAAACATATAATTTGGTTCGCGTATGACAACTTTCAAATAATGCTTTTATTTCTATTATTTTACCACTAATAAATTAGGCACACAAATGTTCTGCAAGCCTCGATTTTACAATTTCCTGACAAGATGTCGGAATTTCTCTTTTTAGTTCTCGCAAAATAAGATTAGATAACAAATCATTCAGCTATTTAAACTTTGTGAGTACTTAGGTGGTTTTGTAATACAATGAAAGGATTAGTTCACAAATTATACTAACCTATAAACCGCAAACGATTTCAGTCTATCAAACGTAATTTATTATAATAAATGAGAAAAGGCTTAGATTTTCATGACAGACATTTTTCTTTCCATTCTTTAGATCTCCGTGATTTTCATAGTGATGAATTACACATGCCCAGTTAAAATAGTTCTTAAAAAAAAAAAAGGGTACGATTCCAATGTTCTCTGATGTTTCTTATGTCAGTCGGCAATAAAACAATTCTCATCCCGAATGTCATAAATCTAATTTGAGTTGTTTGTCCAATCATCAACTCGCCAATCTCTGAATTATGCAGATAAAAGCGGATCTGTCAAGACCCTTGAACACCTTGGTTGTGAATTGAAGAACTTATTTGATCGAAATAGGCGTTTTCCCAAAAGGCGAAAAATCGATAGATAATGTTTTTAACAAACTACAACCCGTCGTCTGCTCCACAGCAACCAAATTTAATATACCCTAATACTAAATCACGTGAAATGACTCATCCTGAAATTTCGAATGAATTGGAAATTTTGTCAAACGTTCATTTTTCATTAGAGTTCCCTACAGGCATAGCAACGCCGGACGGTGCTGTCGGCCAAATACCCAAAATAAATAGTGGACCGGTTTCAATTCAACATGTATTTCAACAAAGAACGCCTCAACCACATCCATTAGTCCAAATATCAACTACCGACAGCATTCCTCCATTTTTCGAACAATCCTCAGCAATGCCAAATTCTATTATATCATTTCCACCTTCACCTACAAGTCCACTTAATTTTCCTTCAGGGTATCCGTCTCCTCCTCAAAGAATATCACATGAAATAAGAAATGATGCATTATTTCCCGCACAATTTTCTGACACTGTTGCCAACCCTTTAACTCAAAGTTCACCAACATTTCCTAATCAATCAGCTGTTTGCCTTACGAACGTACCACAAAATGGAATGGTAACCCCTCCAATGATGATGAATGGTCACAATTATTATCATTCCTATCACCAGATGATAGATCACAGTTACGAGTATCGTCTTATGGCTGAAGAAAATAAAAGACGCCGGAACACTGCTGCTTCTGCAAGATTCCGTATAAAAAAGAAAATGCGTGAACAAGCTCTCGAAAAAACTTCACAAGATATGGCTGCAAAAGCTGAGATGCTCGAAAAAAAAGTGCGTGAATTGGAAAAGGAAATAAAATGGTTAAAATGTTTGATTATCGAGAAGGATGCCCGACTTTTGGACATCGAACGTCCTAAAGAGCAATTTGACCAAAATTAAAATGCTCTTGATAATTCTTTTTTTTATTTGATACTATGAAAAACGCTGGAATGCGTTACGCGTTCAATTTTAATAGTAAATGGTGAGAACTCCTATATGAATTTTATGCACGTTTTGACGCATCTATAAGGTTTTCCATTTTTTTTCTTCGCAAATTTCGGTTTCTAAACCCTCATATTCGTTTTTTCGAAAGCTCTCTAAAAGATTTTCTAAAAGATCTCCGTTTATTATATTCTATTTTATTTTAGTGTATTTTTTTAATGTACACTTCGAATAATTTTGTATAAATTTTTTTTTTTTAACCATTGTTCGAATCGCTGTATTTTCGTACATATACCAACCCGATAATTTAATACCATATATCGTACGTTTCTCGAGAAAAAATTAAGCAACAAATCACCCAGATTTTCTTATGATCACCCAATTATTATTCCTTTAAGCCAATTTTTTACTTTTTAAATTAACATTATGTAATCATCTGATATTTTTTTTTTTTGTATATTTATGTTTTTTTAAAGTAAAAAGGAGTTTTCATTTTAAAAAAAAATCATTATTCATTGTTTATCGAACTTTGTAAATATATTCTTATTCGGCGATCTTAAACCAGGTGACTAATTCCAAATAAGTCACAATGCAACCGAGAACATATTTGGGGGTTTTTTTAATGGATTTACATAAATTTTTATAAGTTGTTTGATATATACCTATACTAAAACATGTATAAATTACCTAATATCATATTTGCAAAAATTCCGTTCTTTGATCGATCCTCGGTATTATTCCTTATTAGAGTGTACGGAAATATGTGATATGGGTATCCTTATGTCAAGAAAATCCCGAGCTGCCGGCCAAAAAAATATGGATCGTAGTATCTCAAAAATTCCTTATATATCTGACATCAACAATTGTATCCTATGAGTAAAATTTCATTCGGAAAACTTTTACTTAGAGGTCGGAAGTTAGTTATCATAGTAAAATTTTGTGTTATTTACGTTTTTTTTCAATGGTTTCGCGTTTTTTTTGTTACACGAGATCCTGTGATTTTATTGGATCCGGATAAGGTCGGAAGTGATCTTCAGCCCGGGATTTTCTTGACTCATGTGGACTAGGGATCCTCATTTTAAAATTATGCGAAATGCTGCTACAGTATTACATTCACGCCTCTGGTTATCAAAAGTTACTCTTAATTTTTACGTGCTCGTGTCTACATTTCCGAATTCTCCCAATACCACTTCCAATGAAATTACAATTATACTTATTCTGCTCTAATTTTACCATTTTAGGTTATGCTCTATTAATTATGCGAAATTAGCCCCGATATGCCAATATGCTATCACATATGCTTTTGCGATATAATTTGATTTATGCGCAGATTATGCTATCGCAAATCGGTGGTATCCTACTACGGACACGTACCTATCATGTGACATTTTGTCTTATGGACACGTACCGAAATAAGTTAACTTCCTTTATCACTCTAAGAAAACTTGTTCTATTGATATTTCTAGTTCTAATAATGGCGAGATTATTAAAATCTGTCAACTAGAACCAGAGATATGCCCTTCCGAAAGTTGGTAACTTACTAATGATTATATCTCCAGTTCTACTGAGCTGATTTTAATAATCTCACCACTATTAGAAACGGAAGAACCATTCCGACCCGGAAATTCCTGTATGAGTTGTCCGATGCCAGTCCAAATCATCAGCAGATCAAATCTTGGTTGCGGACTGGTACGTGACCACATATGCGCATATGTGCACATCACATTTCTGAAAAAATGAGCGGCAAAGTGTTACGATAAGGGAGTGATTTTTCAATCGTAAGCAGTAAAAAGTTTAGTGTAAGCAAAGAGATAAATTTATTTTCATTGGGTACAAGAGAGAGTCTACCTTTATTTGCAATAAATAACCTTATTTATAGCTATAGGTCGTCTCATCACTTCTGATACCTCATATTTTATAAAATAAATTAAAAGTTTCTTAATAATATTAAATCTAATGAATGTTATTTTAAATCATATATACTATCATATTTTTTCATTTAGGTAGCCACAATAATGGTTTTAATTAAGAAAAGATTAAGATTATTGCTAATAATATATGCTTAATTTTGAAGTCTCAACTCTTTTAGTTGCTTCTAATAGTGCTTAGGAATGATATATAATACTAGGCAGTAACAAGTTATTATCTGAAAGGTTATTTCTAATCATTATTTTACAATAGAATATTATTAATCTGATAACATTTTCTTGTAAAGAAATGAATAAAACAAAAAAAATTAATTTAAACTAAACTAAAAGAGTTACAGAAAGAAAAAAAATAAAAGTATTAGAGAACAACTTCTTCATAATTATTCTAACAAAGTTATTAATATTTTTATCTGTATTAAAGATTTAATTATATTTTAATTTGTACTAAAGAGATAAAAATTTATATATATAATTTGAGAATTACTATATATACGTTGTATCATCACTTCTAATATATCATA